GAATTTCACCGGGACCCTAAGATTTATCACAAAGGCAATTACTCGACCATTGGTCACAATAAACCATGAAAGACTTCTGATTTTGCTCTACGACAACACAAATCATTTTGATCCTCAAACAGTCAAAACTGTGTGAACCCAGAAACTGCCTCCCTCACAGATGATTGGCACAACAGAAGCCAACACACAGACCAACTCCATCAGTAGTTCACATCCTCAGCTTAGACTGTGCATCAGTTCAATTATGACTGCTCCCAGTAACCTCTTATAGAATATTTGACAAAATCAGCTTCTGTGGTCTATACAACCCTACAGAACAGCACTGTGGGTTTGCAGTATGGATATGCATATGATCATCTCTACTGACAGACAAGAATTTATCAGTACTAATTTACTGGGGCACAGCAGTATTTTACTGGAGCTCATGCCCCAGTAAAAATTATCCGGCAAAGCCCCTAAAAATGAGTATAAAGCAGATCTATTAACTTGACTTTCATCAAACTGTAGAACAAAATGATAGTGAACCCTACAGAACAGCACTGTGGGTTTTAAGATGCAATAGATGCAATGCTACAAATCAGAAAGTGCATGAAGGTTTATGAAGCAACCACTTGCAATCAGGAGCCCTGAAAAGAAAATCCTTAAACCTCTGTGCTTGTGGACTAAATGTCCCATCTTTAGGATGACTTACTAGCTCAATGCTGAAACTATGTTATGAGCCCCTGCTGTTTTCCTTCTTGTTTTCCCTTCCTCTGTTGTGCACAGTTGGCAATTGGATGAGAGCAGAGGCTGATTACTGCTAACACCTGGGACCTGAGCCTATTTGAGAGTTGATGGTGACACTTCATAGTGACTTGTCCCAGGAAACCCATTGCTGGTTGTTTTAATGTTTGTTTTAGTATTGTTACATGATGGTGAGTTGCTCTTGTTTGTTTAGTTAAATAAGAATAGAAATAAAACATAGATAAGTAAGCAGTCCCGGAAGATTATTTTGTGTTTGTTGTTTTCTCTAGAAGGTGTTAAGCGCTGTGATAATTGTAGTTTACAGTAGATTAGTTAGCTTACCAGTCCTTATTCAAAGGCATAGTTTACCCAAAAATTCTGTCACCGCTTACTCATCCTCCACTTGTTTATGCTTATATGGAACATCTGGACCTCCTTGATTGTGTGTCCTTAACTTCTTGTGTCATGTGACAAGAGATAGTTATAAAATATATTTTATTTATATAATTTTTTTTTTTTCAGTGTGACTGCCATAGGTTGGTCTACAGTATCTTTTGGGTGCTAATCCTTTTTTTGGGGGGGGGAGTTGGGATATGGAGTTATGTATATATATGGATTATCGTGTTATGGATATATATGGAGATACATTGTCTTTACCTGCAACAAAGAGTCATTCACAAGTCACAGGAATGATAAAGATCTGATCCATCACTGACAAACAATAAAACACATGTGCAAGTTTTGTTTCCTAAATTGCATTGTAGAAGATGTAGATGATCATTGTAGATCTCCCCCCTCAGGCGCTCTTATTGTTTTCTGTCTTATAAAGTATCCTGCTACTATTTTCACTGCAAACGAATCAGTGCATAAGTCTGAATGAATCAAACTGGAACATTTTGAAAGCCTGTTTGGCCGATCAGATCAAAAGAGTGATTTATTTGGGAATCTGGCATTCTTCACAGCTGACAGAAAACACACAACATGACTGCAGAAATATTGTCAGTGAAAATGTTGCTCAGGTGATATGCATATGATCATCTCTATTAACAGACAAGAATTTATCAGTACTAATTTACTGGGGCACAGCAGTATTTTACTGGAGCTCATGCCCCAGTAAAAATGATCCGGCAAAGCCCCTAAAAATTATTGTAAAGCAGATCTATTAACTTGACTTCCATCAAACTGTGGAACAAAATGATAGTGAAACATTTCTTTTCATTACACTGACTGCTTGCATCCCTCTTTATCACCTTAATGATGGAGATGTCAATCAGAACAATGTGTCCCTTTTCATTCAATTAAAAGGCTTACAATCTATGCAAACTAAAACAAGCATAAAGATGCTTTCAATGAACAATTAATCAACTGTAAAGTAGATTAGTGGTATTGTACATATTGTAAAAACATTGGTATTACCTTAATGCACATTGTTACTCAAAAGTATTCATGTCATATTGACTTGTCCTTCAAAAGTGACATGTTTTATGACATTATTTTGACAAAATGTTATAAAATCATGCATTCTGTATAGTAAATGTACCAACAGTTCATGTATTTACTCACTGTTATGCACTTAAAAAAGTGTCTCTTTGGAGTTTTTAAAACATATGAAATTAAAATATGTATTTTACTTAGCTTGTTTGTCATGTTTGCTGTGTTACATGTATTACTCTATAGTAACACTTTAGTATAGGGACCAATTCTCACTTGTAACTATATGCACAGTATCTATTCCAGAAAAGTCAATCCCTGAATGAATTCCCATTGGATTACATGCAAGCTCTCCATCATTGGGTCTCAAAACAGGAAGCTTGTTAATAGTTTCAATTGTATACTGTATACTTGTATAATTGTATACTGATTAGCTATTAGTGGTCCCACTTTATATTAGGTGACCCTATTAGTCAACTTTTAAAATTGTGTTACTCATGTGTTGCTGTGTAGTTATTCATTAACAACCGAGCAGCATTCTAAAGTGTCACTCTTTTAATGAGGAAACTGATAATGACTGACACATCACACAAAGGCTGGGAGTCACTGTTTAAGGGCAAAGTGTTGATGGACCCCAACACGACACATACTTTTCCTTACTAATGGTATTTCTGGCCACTTCGTTCATTTTTTCGAAACCAACATATTCTAGTCACATGGGACAGCACAACATTGGTGGCATATATAAAACCGAAGGGAGCATGCACTCGCTGTATCTGCACAGATCCTGATTTTGTGAAGCAGAGGGCGATTTTATTTCATTTGGTTACCGTTTATTATGAACAACATCCTGGGAGTAATAAATACAGATACAGGCCTACTGTGTGGCGGATCCCCCTGTTTGGAGGATGGGGACTTTACCTGCAAGTGCTGAATCATGTGTGATAGAGCCGAGAAACGGGTGAGCTGCCGTAGGTCTTTGGCATCTTGAAAAGATGTCCTTCTTCACATTAGCTATAATGTGGAGATCCAGCTTTACCGCTTTAACATACGTCATTAGAGAGGTCATGACATACTGTTTTTAAAATATAGATAGGAAATTAAGTTACAAGAAAATATCTGAATTACTATTTCAAATAAATAACACCAGTTACTTTGTTTTCCTATGAATTGGCTGACGGCTCTCGTGTTGCCATGTTGAGAGAAATCAAGAGTAGGTGCAGAGGTGTTGTGTGCTCTGTGTGAACATGATGATACTGTAGATCTAGACTAAATATGAACATGTATTTACTCATCTCACCTGCACAAAAACAGATTCAGTATTCCTCCAAATGAATAAAAACAATGAAATGAAAAAAAAAATACCCTTTATGTATTTAATCCCATTTCATTAACCAACATGCTGACCCTCAATGATCCAATTCAACCATACTAATAAGCAAAAATGACTCTAAACATAACATGTTTTTCTTGCGTCTTCATGCAGTCCAGAATGGCAGCAGAACTGAAAGGTTTGTTTGAGCTTTTTGAATCTGCATTTCCTTCTGCCTGAGGCTTATTCATTTCACTTTTGGTGTGAAAGGGCTTTTACATTTACCAAAAATATAACTTTTTATATGAAAAACAAACAAGCAAGCCCAGGCCAGATTGGAAAAAGTAATGCAAAAGTAACAGAAACACTAAAGTAACACAGTTAGCTACTTTTAGGGAGTAATGCAATAATGTAATGCATTACTTTTAAAAGTATGCCCCACCATGACACATAGAACTGTACTGAAAACTGCATGATGAACAATTGTATTTGTTTGAGCCAGAGCATATAGAAACACCATGATTCCCCTCACAATTATAACAAAGGATTTTCAGTGGGGTGTACTGCAACTCGGCCCAGAAGATGAACTGTTTTAGTATGACAAGGTCTCATTAAAAATAAATAAATATATAAATAAAAAATGGTGCTTATGGTGCGAGTCTGAAAAAGCAAAACACACTGCAGTCATCAAATGCTTCTGTGTAACATAGTTTATCACACACACACACACATGCACACACGCACGCACGCACGTACGCACACGTCTGGTTTGCTATTGCACACTAATGGTTTTTCTGCTGTATACACCGTTTATTCTATTGCCCTACACGTAAACCTACCCCTTACAGGAAACTTTCTGCATTTTTAGATTTTCAAAAAACTTAATTCTGTGTGATTTATTAGCTTGTTTACCAGTGGGGACCTCAATTTAGGTCCCCACCGTGACATGAGTCCCCATGAGTCTGAGAAAGACAGGTACACACACACACACACACACACACACACACACACACACACCACCAGTGGTTTCTGGAGAATTCGGACATTGATGAACCATGAACTGGAGAGGGCTGCGAAGCTGTCACATTCACTATTTTGTTACATGCACAATTTCGTGAGACCTAAACACTGCATTTTGGGTATTCTCTAATCGTTGAGTATCGGGTATTGAATGAACGCACTGGATGATCTTTACTATGGTTTTGTACACACTATTGGCTGCCACCCTAAATAGTGCACTCTGTATAAAGTTATGGAGAGAATTCAGTCCCACAACACATTTGGACTGCCTCTCTAACATGCCTCATTTAACTCAACAGCTCATGTAGAGCGCTCAGCCAATTCAATCGGATGTGTCAAATGAGGAACATATATAGTACATGTGCAGTGATTGGTGTTTCCCTATTTTTCTTCATATACACAGTAAATTTGAAATCCGGAAAACAACACGAGAGTTAATTTCAACACTTTGAAAGTGTATATATGAGAACCACTCATAAAGTGTTAATTTAACACTTTCAAAAAAAACAGTTGGCCACCTTTCCAAAAGTCTGGAAGCAGTTTCTGACCCAAAGAGGAGTGTAAAGTCCTGAAGAATCTGAAGCAGTTTGAAGAAAACACGTAAAGAAATTATAATATATTGACAAGCTAAATGTGGTCAGTTTAAACAATGTAGACCATTTGACAGTTCTCTGAATCTAACATTTCAATTTTTGTAAAAAAGGAAAGAGAAAATCCATACCAATCCTTTAGTGTCCAGGAATCGAGGGAAAACTGAGAGAATGGTGGTGGATCCCTCTGGATCATGGACAAGGTGCTTTCTGTATTCAAACGTTGCCTTCATCTTCTGCATGATGACCTCACATTCGCTTGTATGATTCATCAAAGAGATGGCCTCTACACTTTGATCATTATCTAGCTGATGGTCTTGGTAACATAGCTGTCTGTCATGCAAAGGACCTCCATTTTCTTCTGTTTTTGGATCATCCTTATTTCCAGAAGGTCTTGACCCCTTTGTACTGTCTTGAGGCACCATGACAAGAATCCAGTGTTTTTTTGGCCATCATAAAAATTTTCCTGTTGAAATGGCACAAATTCTAAATTTAACCATCCATTAAAAATTACATCTTAAGTAGGGCTGCACGATAAATCGCATGCGATATTTAATGCGCATTTTGTAATCAGCGGTAAATCTCCATCACGTGCGTGCTTGCTGATTACAGAACCGGCTTTACTGACAAGATGCGCATTAAATATCGCATGCGATTTATCGTGCAGCCCTAATCTTAAGACATTTCTAAATGAGCACAAAATATTGAATGTTCTGATCAGCGATAATGACTTACATATCCAGTCCTCCCTTGGGGATCTCTGAGTGAGGGAAACAAGGTGATAATTCCCAAACCATACTTCTGTTTGGTAAGTCGATGTGGGACCCTTCTGAAGAATGGGAACCCTCAATGTTACTTTACGCTGATAGGAAATGTTTAAGAACATTTAATTAAACAACAGCAACTTTCAGAAAAAAACAAATTTGAAAATTTGCACAAATTTGTAGCACCCAACTACATCTATATACTTCACAATCTATATAGCGTCAAAATCACTAACAAACTGAATAATGCAAGACTGAATTAAATTTTTATAATTACCCTTCTGTCTCCAGAACTAAGTGTGTGTGCAACTAAGATGTTCACCATCACTTTCCTCGTGTCATCACTAATTGTCCCTGTATCTTCATACTCCTTAAGCACATTTCCTCCACCTGGTCTTGTCTGTAGAATTTGTTTTATCAGCTATAAAAAGAGGAATATTAACAGATACTACTATGAGAGAAGATAATGCAGTAATACCTAAATTACCCTTAAATATAACCCTGATCTGAAAAAGATCAGCATTATACATTATTAAAAAAAAAAACATTAATGAAACTGAACATTATGAGTAAAACCCCCAGGGTCTGTGTAAGGCTACTGGGACTCACATCTGTGGCCTGTGATCTTTGTGATGCTTCGTCGTCATCATCCTTTCTGAATCGTTTTGGACTAAACCAGTCACTCTCTTCACTGCTTTTTGAAGTTAGAGACAGTGTATCTGTATCTAAGCTGACTGAAGATTGAGGTGTGGAAGATCCTGTTAAGGTTAAAACTGGGGTTAATAGATGTCATGTTAGTCTTTATTATTACTGCATTTAGAAAACTAATTCTGAGAACTTTTAGTCCGGGACATTGGTTGTTGGAATAAAAAGATTGAATATGAAACTTGCCATTCGTTTACTTTTTTAGAAATACATTTTTCCACACATCTGCTACAATACACCAACACTACCTACAATATTTAAAATACTGAACATATTAAACACTACCAGCATTCATTCATAAATTGGGATACAGATGACATCATTCAGCAACTCCTCTGTTTTCACTCACCAATGTCATTCAATTCATTTATGACGAAAACCAACCCACTGGTGGTCATTAGATCAGGAAACACGTCTTTATCCACCTCTGTACCGGTTTCATCTGTAACTGTAACTGCAAGGTTGTCTGGAATTGAGAACTTCTCTTTCACTGCAAAACAAAATATTTACCAATTTTAGTCCAAGTTTTATTCCTAATTTGACATAAGGCTATAAAAACATATAGATTTAATTATTAAGATATTAAATATCACTCACCCTCTGCTAGAAATAAATCAAAGCACGCCTCTGAGATTTTTACGAATTTCTTCTGATTCCGAAATTGTGCTTTGACAATCATTGCGATTAAGCATCTGAACTCCTGGCTTGTAGAGGAAGAAACACGTCTTACTGGTTTAGACTCAATTTGAAACAAGATTGTGTAAAAAATATATTAAAAAAATATCAAAACAACTTTCATAATATCAAAACAGCAAAGACACAAATTACATCGAAATAGGAAAACTTTTTATGTTATAACCCCTCATTTACAAGACAAAGCGCGAACCTTTGAGAAATTATACCATTTTCGTCTCCGTGTAAACATTCACACTCTCCTCCTGCACTCTAAATAAGCGCGCGCGTCTTCTGCAATACAGTTTTGCGCTACGTACAGTGCCCCAATGGTCAAACCTCGTTATTGCCGATACTTATATTAGTTACGTTACATAGGCCTTTACATAAAAAAAATATCTGTTGACAATTATTTAAATTTAAATTTAATTTTTTTTGTCCACTAATCGTTTCAGCACTACGGATCCGGCTAAAGACTTATATCCTATCTCTACCCATGTTCCACGACTTTGTTCAAAACGAACACAAACACATATTAGTTTTTTGTTCCTTAAAAGGTAACTTAACTGAGTGCTTTAATTCACTAACGTTACAAAAAATGTAAACTAATCACGTTTGACACAAATCATATAATGCTGCTCAAACATTGATATTAAAAACGTATCAAGTTACCAAAGTTCAAAACCATGACTGTCTCAGAAGCATGGTCAACGATCAGCAGAAATCCAAGCCAAATCTTAAAAACAAAATCTGAACAATCTGTTTTAGACCAATGAACATCTTGATATAATAATATTCCACGCGCCACAGTTCGCCTATAAAATGGCGCGCGCGTGACTTTAGACTCGTTCTGAAAAGAACACGATCAGACTTTAGTCAATAAAAATGATTGCTGTGTGCGACATGAGATGACAGACGAAACTACGCATATTCAAAGCTTTAATTCATTAATAAAGCGGCATGACAGGCTGAATTGACAAAAATCACACATCAGAGCTCCTTGGCTGTCGACCACCACTCTTCCACTGAAGTAAAATGGCGTCCGCATGTGGTCTGTTTCAATCAAAACGACATGTAGTCTGCACGTTAATGGAGGTGTGGCTGAAGTTCTGAAGGATTAGATTGCTGTTCTAGTCAAACATGGTGCAGGAATAACATAATGTGCTACACAAGATGCCAGTCAGCACTGTTTTCATGGTATAAAGAAAGACATTTAGTCCAAAGACTCTTTTGAAAAGGATGTGAGAACTATATGTTCCTCTACTCATGCTTGCCTCTTGGTCATGAGAAAAGCAAAAGGCAGTTTGCAGTTCACTTGCTCTTATATGTTATCCTTGAATGCATCTGCAAGTTCATATTCTTCCATATTTGAAATATTAGAGCATGTCGGTTTGTTTGTTTGCCTTTTCCACTTTTATTCATCACACTATCACCATCCCTTGTCAATGTTTGTCACAAAACAAAACAGCACAGTGGACTGGCATTGGCTGAATTCCTTTCACGGTATTTTCAAAAGCTCATAGGCACCAAATCAAAAGCACAAGTAACTGCGGACGTGATTACAGCAGTGCTTCTCTCTACTGATTTAAAGCGTTCCCTCCGAAGACGAAGTGCATCAAGGGCAGTAAGGAGGTTTGAAAGTTTACCTGTTGCTACGACAACCATCTCAAAGGTCAAATACTCTCTGCCGAGGGACACAATGATATAAAATCAAATTGTTGCACAGCCGAGCAAGTTTAACACCCACACATCAATGCCTCCTGTCAGGCCACAGGTGCTGCACTGTAACAAAAGCAAGGAGCAAGAAACTAAATTTTTACATTTACAGAACTTGGTGGTTTCTATAGACTCAAGTCAAGATAGTCAACCTTATGTCTCTATTATATTCTGCTCTCTAAATATGCCCCCTAACCCCTTAAAACAATGTCTATTTATTCATTTTTTGTTACACTTTATTTGAAGGTTCAATTCTCATATTAACTATTAAATATGACTTCTGCCTTATTAAACTCCTAACTTGCTGCTTATTAATAGTTAGTAAGGAAGTTAAGTTTAGGAATGGGGTGGATTAAGGGATCTAAAATATGGTCGTGCAGGATAAGGCATTAATGCTGCTTTATAAGTATTAAAAAACAGCCATGTTAGTAATATGAATGCTAGTACGTAAATAGTGAGAATTGGACCTTAAAATAAAGTGTTACATTTATTTTATACTGTGTTTGTTGATGTTGATGTTCACTGTGACCGTGTGAAGGTCTTTGTACCATTAAAGCATTCTGCAAGTTTCATAGCTTAAAACGTCCTCCTCGTTATAAACAAAGCATTTAAGCTCCAAAAACGGCTCGTTTTGGATCTGAGGTGCAAGATGACGTCACCCGGGCACAAACATTTGCTTACAAAAATGTAAGAAAAATATCCATATTTGAAATGTTATAAACACTTTTTTTCTCACTTCTGCTGACATAAGTGCAAGCCGTTCCGGCGAATGATGTAGGACATACACGTTGCACCTGTGAGATATGCTAGTCTCGCGAGTTTGTTTACAGGAGCAAAGGAAGCAAAGTTTCCTTACTTTAGCAAAGAAAAAACAGTCTCTTCTTGGCTTATATCGAAATCCTCCTACATTTTTCTTCACAAATCTTCGTTTTGTGCTTCTAATTCATCACCGGCTTTTTGTTTTGCTATCTCTCATTTTTGGGTAAACATTTAAAGGGGTCATATGATGCGATTTCAAGTTTTCCTTTCTCTTTGGAGTGTTACAAGCTGATTGTGCATAGATAAGATCCCTGAAGTTGCAAAGACTAAAGTCTCAAAACCAAAGAGATATTCTTTATCAAAGTTAAGACTCTGCCACGCCCCCCTAAAACGGCTCATTCTAACACGCCCCCACATATCTACCTCACTATGTGGCAATATTAGTATAATGCCGCCCAAATGTTCACGCAAAGAAAGAAGGCGTGGTTTCAGTAACCGCAGTTAGTGTTGAAGCAGCCATGTCAGGGAGACGCTGTGTGTTTCAGTGCGAAAGCAAAAGCACTTTATTTGGCCTTCTGAAAGTAGATGCATTTAGGAATCTTTAAGATTACTTTGAGATTACAACAGAACAGCAATGCATTTTATGGACGACCGTTTCGTGAACCTAGGAGAGGAGGTAATTCTGACTTTGCTATGACAATCTGGCACTTCTGAATCAGCTACTGTGTGTGTGTGTGTGTGTGTGTGTGAGAGAGAGAGACAGAGAGCGAGCGAGAGAGAAAGAGAGCGAGAGAGAGAGAGAGAGAAATAGAGAGCGAGCGAGAGAGAGGGAGAGAGAGAGAGAGAGAGAGAGAGCGAGAGAGAGCGTTTTTGAACATTAAAGCATGTCAACATATTCTGTTACACCAAATACACAAAATAATGATCTTTAAAAAAGCATCATATGACCCCTTTAAAGGACCTGCCTCTTAAAACAGGTCATTTTAGAGGGTCAGAATAAGGGTTGGAAATATTAATTTTTCTACATATTTATTTATTTATATTTTTTGTGCAAAAAACTTTATTAACATTATAAGAGTAAACCCCAAGGAAGATATATATATATATATAAAAAAAAAAAATAAAATCCATGACCCCTTTAATCTTTCAGCTGCTTTATTTTTAATTTAAATGTTTGGGTAGTGCAGCCCAGACTACAAAACTGATGAAAGCAGTTCTAAAGAAAAACAGTGACTAGATATGAAACCTTGGGAAGACACACATCTCAGAGAGTATTTTTATCCCAGACCACACATGAAATCATACAACACATATGCATTAAGCATTTGTGCAGTGCAGTGTGACTGTATGACAGTTTGACAGCTCAGGTTGACTGAACTCACGCTGAAAATTGCAGATGTGCATCCTGAAAATTTAAGGTCAGTTTGGTTATAGAATA